GGCAGCAACAAAGACAGCATTAGAAAGATTTTTAAGAATATTGGAAACAAATTGTAGGTAAAGTAATCTGCTAACAAGACTAGTTGAAGTTTTTATGTCAGACAGAAATGTATAAGGCTTTAATAAATATTTCTTTTCATTGGGGGGAAAAAAAGGTATTTGTGAATATAAGGTGTCTTCCAGTCCACTGAAAAAATGAGGAGTATGTTTGCTTACATCTACCAGGACTAGGATGTTTCTGAGATGCTAAGAGTCTGAGGCACCAGAATTATGGTGTAATTCTCAAAGCAAATATCCTGCCTGCTGCTGTTAACTTACAGTAACAATACTGGGAATTCTCTAGTACAAGAAAAATGTAAATGTAGTGCCAGTATTCCAAGGTGGATGACATTAATGAACAATGCAACGGCTGCCAAGATGGGCAACTGAAAGGCCAGGATTCCCATTAAGAACAATCAAGCTACAGTTCCTTAAAATAAAACAGGTATTAATAATGCCAAGTTCAACATTGGTACTAAATGTCTGTGTATATTACAGTCTCCCAATTTAAACTGATCACCAGAGATAGATGATGAGGTTCAATTTTATCCATGTAACTCAGAATTAGTCCTAGCCTTCTCTCGTCTTGTGAATTGAGAGTCACAGTCTAAATCTTCTTTAAAGTTGTTGTATAATTATTATTACAAAAGCAAATGTTTATTGATGTTCTTAGTTACGGAGATAACTATTACACCTCTAATTTCACAGCTAAACCTTACTAAATGAGAAGCTATTACTATGACTTACTATGGAATTAAAATTTTCTACACTTTATTACACCTTTCATTTAATTAAATAAGGGCAGTAAAAAGAAGGGAGTGCAATTTTTGAGAGACAACTATCAATTACTGAAGGAAGCAAGACTCAGTATGCATTTATTAAGTGCACATTTAGGTTGAATACAAACAGGCTGACTTTCCAGCCTTACTAAGCTGTTGGTTACCCTAAAAGAATGAATGGCACAAACATTTACTTAACAAAAAGAAAAAAAAAATCCCAGACTTTGCTGAAATTCACAAGAATCAATAATGTACAAAAAAGTAGCTCATGTCACAAGCTCACACTGTTCGGGGATTGTTTGTTTTCACACAAATAAACGCTATTTTGTCAAATACTAATTTTGTCATGAAGGTAGTGGGGCAGACAGTGAAGCATTACTGATGCACAGATTTACCGTTAACATTTTCTGTGCACCTATCAAATTGCTTCATTTTCATAAAATATGGATATTTTCCCTTTTCAAACAGTTTGTGCCCAATTAACTTCACTTCGCAAAGTATAGGGACTCTCAGAAGGTACTGCAAAACTATGGTCTCTTTCCTTAAATAAGGGACAGTCATTCTAAATGTTACAATGGGAGCAAGGATAATTACACCTTACACTTCACACCACTCCTTTGAAGACTGCGATACAGAATCCACTGTCAGTATTTACTAAGCCCTTTTTTATTCTTTTTAGCCTAAGTAAGACTTTACTATGGACGCAAATCCCATGATTAACATCACCTCCTGTGATCATTGTTCTGATTTCCAGAAGAAAATAGTCATCTCAGGTGGTCATCCAGAAGCACAAGATGATCAAAATGTTGGAGAAAACATACCCATTTGTGAGAGATTCAAACTTGAAATTAAGAATAACTTCCAATATAATTATCAGAATGCCTCTAATTTTCAATCCAAGGAAACCGAAACCAATGAAAGTGAACTCAAAACCAAATAATTTTATTAAATTACCTGACAATATATGACTTAATTTGTTGGCTCCTTCTACTCATATTTTTACTATTTAAAAAGTTTGATTTTATTTTGTTTACCTCCTAATCATACACATCCATACTGATTTTTACATTTCGTTAATGGTATGGAACTGGCTAAAACTTCCAAGATTTTTATGCAAAAATTTTTATTATGGAGCACATACAAATTTGAGGATTGATGCAATAATCATACTCTTTTCAATCTATGATTATGGATACCTATGCTATAAAACAAAGAAAAAAAGAAAATGCCTTTCTAGGCCAGTAATTGTAGGATTCACTAATGTATCAAAAAGTCCATTCTCTGCATTTTAAAATAACAGGTAGCATTTCAGAGTTCTGTCTTTAAAACTTTGTAATTTTGTATATTTAGTGGTAATAAGAAAAAAAAAAAAATGGTTCCATTAGTAACTTTAAGAAATTGAAAAGCACTGAGTGCCAAACGTATATTCAAACCCTTGAATTCAGTCACTCAAAACCCTCTGTTCCTTAAGGCTGCTCTAAATAGCTCTTCTCCATTTATTACCTAGCTCAGATTACACCGAAGTGTAGTGCAAAGGCCAGGGGAACATCACAATTTCACCCGTATTTTCTAGCATCTGTACTTTTTCCACAGGTGTTGCTATAAAGGCAACGAGGCTCTGACCTTAAGGTCAAATCACAGGGCACTTAGGTGTTGGTAGAACAGAAGGAGCTTAAATAACCATGATTTGCACATATGGGCCAAACAGCACTATAGCAGAGGCATTTCATTTTTCAAAGTGAGTTTGGAAAAGGGGCAAATATGTGCCCAATACATCTCTAGTTATTCTTTGTTGCTCATTTAAACCAACATTTTTTTTACCCTGTATTGTTTTCCAGTAATCACTAGAACTATTCCTTGTGTAACTCATTAAAATAAAAACAACTGGACTAAACATCTACCTTTACGCTGTGTTGCTTACTAGTCTCACGTCTTGTTTAAGATCAGGTACAGAAGAAGTATCTAGGGTATTTCTACATCAGAGTCATAGGATAAACCCATTTCTCACTGTACAAATTTTTAATTTGGCACAGCCAATAAAAAAGCATGCTCTATAAAGATGCATCTAAAAATCCATGCCATGAGTAATGTCCTGATTTAAAACCTCTGAAGTAACTTGCACTGTTCTGAATTATTTCCGTATCCTGCAGTCTCTTAAGCTGTTACAGGATATCTTTTTTTTCACTCAGCAATTGACCTTACTCCATCATCTGCTGACATTTTCTCTCACACATGCTTAACTGACAGATTGTGAAGCAAATTTAAAAAAAAACAACCAAAAGACAAAATAACAAAAAAAAAAACCCAAAAACCAAACAACAAAATCCCCCAACTACTTTGACTTCCAACCATCTCTGCAGTAAAGGTCTTAAGTAAGTTGGTGCAGTGACCCTGCATTCACTATGGCACTAGTGTATCAGCCGTCTGCATTGTTACCAAGGTTAAATTCCAATGTTAGGAGATCTGCAAGGATTCTACATGCCATCTCAGGAGAGTTTCAGAATCACTGGTGAAATAGAAAGTAGTAGGCACTTTTTTTTGTCTATAGCCAAAAGCCACAAACTGCTTGTAATATATTGCATATGACAACGCATAATTCATCCTTTATACTAAATGCATTGTGGACTAATGTCCTGGGAATGCAGGGATTTTGAATGGGCATTACAAATCCCACAGCATCAGGAATATTAAACAGCGCTAGTATTTAGAAATAACTTCTTCACTGTGTTAGGATTATTTTTTGAGGTCTTTTTTTCCAGTTTCTTGAAGCCAGCCATACATCGTTGAAATGATACAGTACAGAATATAAACACTTGCAAATATTTTCAGTACTAAAGCAAACTCCTGCTATGTCGACTCAAAAATGAGCTACAGAAGAGTTTTGAAGTGGAATCTAACAGTTTGGTTTGATGTCAGTGACAGCTGAGTACCCAATTCTCAGAGGCTCTTCTAACCTCCCTCCCTGCCCCACACTCCCCTTCCAAATATGAAGCTTTGCTATGACCTGTTCTGTGCTTGGCAGAATTAGAACAAACCCTTTGAAAGCCTGCCTAAATAATACTGAGCAAAATAGTACTTTGTCAAAAAACAGGAGGGGAAAAAAAAAACCATCACTGTGTATGACACAAAAGTGCGTTAAAGTGCTAGGAGACCACTTAGTTGAAGTGTTATGTTTGGCATCTTGGCAGTGCACTGCAAAACAGGGAGACATCTAACAATTTTTCATTAAAATTCTATGAATAGGCAAGCTCGGTCAGGCTGTTGGGAACTCTCTGTCAGTGCCACTTGTTCTGCTAAGTGCAGAATGGAGGCACTTCTTCAAGCTGAGTCAATTTGAGTCAGTGTCTCATATCTCTGAACACCAATGCATGACGTATAAGTAGAATCATAGCTGCTATCCCTGCAGTCTTGCTTTTCTACACTGTATTTACTACACTGTTATTTTAAGTAGCAGAATAGATTAGTTGCTGATGCTTGCTCTCTTTCATCAACCTACGCTCTCTCAATGAAGTAATGGGGTCAACCTCCTTGCTTTCTCTCTTACACACATATGCACATACACAGAGGAGATTTTGCACTTAAGGATGTTATTTTTAATTCATGCGCAGCTCGCCCTGTATGGAGAAGGAAGAGGGCTGTTACACAACTACTTGTCTAAACAGCAGGTTCAGTCTCAAAGACAGCAGGTCTTTGAATAAAAGACAGATAAGGCATATATCTTTATATGAGTATGTAAACAAAAGCTATAGTTAAAGCTATAAACTAAAAGATCAGGTGTAAGAAGTTGTCTTTTCCAGGCAGTTAGCCAAAGAGAATACAGTGGGTATCTGGCACATTCATCAATTCAGTGAATTCCTACTTACCCTTGCCACCAGCAGATTAATTCATTGTAAACAGTCCATGAAGCTCATGGCATATGCTTTACTGTAAGTCTCCTTAAAAAGCTGTTAACTCGCAAACTCGGATTACCTCACAGAAAGATAGCAATCCCATTTTACAATCAGTGAATGCTGTTAATGCCTTTTCATTATCCTTTCATCATACTGCAGTATGAGAGCATATATAATAATATTAATCCTTAGTGCCTACTGCTGAGAACAACCAAAATTCACCTCAGGTTGTAGGGGAACATTTGAGCTCCAGAACAACCTCTGCTGTACACTGCAGTTCTGTCTTCCTTACCTTCAGTCGCCTTGATTGTGTAGCCATTCTCTTCATTTGGTGGTACTTCAAGAAGCTGCATGACCCTGTCCAGCAAACCATGGATAATCTCAAACCCTGGGCTCTTGTTGTAATAAACTGCACAGAAATGCCTGTAGTTTCTCGCACCTACATCTGAAGAAGGAAACAATTTTGTTATCTGGGAAACTTTATCACACTTTCAACCTTGCTTTTTGCATCAGTTTTCTTCTGCTGTGCTATGAGGCACTTGGGGCTGAAAAGAGAAATGAGTATGTAAAATGGCTTCTCTGACACACCTGTCATATAATCTGAAGAAATAATGGCATTTCTTTAACCCACTGGACCCTCACAGAAATGTAAAGAAAGATTGAAAGTATCTTATGCCTTGGGCAGGAAACAGAGTTGTTACATAAAAGTATCTTCTACACAGTGACAGGTACTAAGCATATAATTAAGTGTTAAAGAAATTAAAAACACACTAGCCAAAATACAAATACTCAGTAAGCATCAAGAAACTTGTGATGCTGGTGGGAAAGTGAAATATTTATAGAACTCTGCCACATAACTACCGGTACAAAACAACTAGCCCACAACTTGAAATGAGTAATAACATTAGGATGGTAATCTATGAAAAGATCTAAATTCACACAGGTTTCCAAATCACAACTGACGCTTTTCACGAGCATCTTGGACATCCCTGCAACCAAGTGACTATGAAGAATGTGCTACATTGCACAAATTCAAGACTGTGGCACTAGTGTCTCCCACTTTGGACAGTTCCTTAAGTCAAAACCCTGCTTTCTCCCTGCTCTAAGTTTTCTTACATTATTGATTTCATCAAAATACGCTTAAATTTTTTTTTTTAAAACTTTCAAAATGAGTATGTAGTAGTATGTTGTTACACTTGTACCTTTAGGCTACACCATTGCAATACACACTCTCTAGGAAGACCGTGGCCTACTTCAAAGCTTTACTCCTTGTGGGTTTCAACGTTTTCACTTTTTGAGAGGAACAATCTAGGAATAGAGTAACCAGTCTATTGTTACAGTTGCCAATGAGTAGCAGTGAAATTCAAAATACTGATTCATGTACTGAACTCATTTATTGCCTTCAGGTTTTTACCTTCTCAAGGTTAAAATGCAAGCATGTGTCCAGCAAGGTTGGCCTATACAAGGGCAAAGTTTGCTGAAACCAGGGAAGGACTCTTTACGTGACTGTCCCTCCTCTTCTGGACATTCATATGCTTTGAGAGTATCTTAAGTTATAAACATTGCATTTCAGTTTGGACCAGACCTGCGCTTCTGAAGGAAATCTCCTGATCATCCACACTTACTGTGCTTCTGTTCACGCTGTAAAGCAACCCTGTGGCATATGAACGGGACTCCTTTCAGCTGCAATTCAGTCATGACAGGTGTTCTAGAAGGGCATCTGGATAGCTACAACCACTCCAGGGCATTCAGCACACATAACTGGGCCAGAGCTAGTCAAAAGGACAGCTTACATGCACATAGCATGGACTCTGAGTCATGGGCTGATCTCCTTCTCTACTGCACTGCTTCATAATATTGACATATAGTGCAACAAGTTACAGCCGGATTTTCATGCACAGATTTATTCCCTTTCTAGAGAGTCCTCTGGCTTCTGTAGTCTCCCAGTTGCTCATGTCTAGATGGACATTCTCATCTTTCTCTTTCACTTAACAGTGATTAGATATAGAGAGGAAATGTCTTTACTGACAGGAACTGCATTCCCTTTAAAACAAACAAAAAACCCCCAAATCCTTCTGATCTATAAATACTTATAATGTTTGAGGGGAAAGAGGGATTAAGAACTTCTTCAGTAGTGAAGGAATGAAGAATGAATGAGTAAAAAGAGCAAGTCTGTCTGGTCTGCAAGTTAAGGTAAGGCAGCAGCATGTGACATAGTTGCATGCATAGGGCTTTCATGTTTCTTTCCAGAAGTCACCCAAAAGAAAGGCACATCAAATCCGGTATATGCCAGGGTGAATTATGTTCTTTACAGAGTCAACTTATGTTCGCACTGAGCATGTCAGGACCCCTGGTCATGAAACATCTCAGCTGGACTTAGTGTTCCCAGGAAAAAAGGCACTGCACTGCCCACTGCTTATAGAAGGAGTGTGGCTAAAGATCCTTACACGGTTAGTGACTTTGTGGGAGCTATAGCTGCACCTATGGTCTGAATTGTACTTCCACATAGTTCTGGACATAAGTATCAGAACTGAGTGCCTCGGACCTCAAGAGACAGTTCTTTTCTACAGGCATCAATTGTTTCCTGCTGCATTCAATACAAGAAATAAGTGATATCAAAATCAACAGGAGCCAAAATCAAAACAAGAAAAGGAGTGGGTTCTTTAGGCAGCATAGAGTTAAGGAGTGAAGCTTCTTCCCCACAGGATTTCGTGCATGCTGGAAGTTCACACAGCTCTGAGGAGGCAGAGGAAGTTCACAGGAGATAAATCTATTACTACTTACTACAGACAAAGAACCATATTTGAGTTGGGAAGTCCCTGAGTTACTCGTGGCTGGAGAACAGGGGAGCACTCTGGAAGTAGTATATATATGTGTACCTGCTCTCATGCTTTTCCCTTGACAACCACTTTTAGCTAGTGTTACGGACAGGTTATTGGGCTAACTGAGCCTTTGGTCTGATCTGCCATTGCCAATCTTTGTGCTTGAGGTACAGTGAGGTTAAATACAAGCAGAAGCTTTAGCACTTGATTGAATGTTCCCTGAACTGTTAATATCTACCACATAAGAAATTAGAGATTATTTTTAAGTTAAATTTACATCTTGTTTATTTGCTCCAACTAACCATTTAGTAACAAAAAATTTGTCAAAAACTAAACAGGAAAACATTTACCAAGTGACTAGAAATACATGGATTAAAAAGGACTGCGAAATACAGGACCACGAGCCTACACAACAGATGAAAGCACAGCCTATTTGAACTAAAAGTCATTCAAAACTTCGAGGGCAGCAACTTCGCAATACAGCTGCAAGTTCTCTCATCGGTCACTGAAAGCTGAACTTACTGTGGCAGTTAAATCTGCATTTTGTCACTCAGGACCTTTTTCCTGTCATTATAACAATTTGCAGTGACAAATAGTGCTGGAGAATCCAATCCTGAAGTTAAAATGGCAACACAGAAAAGTAAAGGCTACAGAGAAAATACCAATAAGTGCAACATCTGATTTCTGGTCTGAGCATGCTGGCTGTTCAGTCGCACCATATATATCTCTTTCCCAGCTCTACTAAGATACGAATCAATAATACAGTCATGAATGGTGGGAATTTATTTTCATGTTGTACTGAGCAACAGAAAAGAAAATGTTTTTCCCTCCCCTAAGACAGCACACTCTTTGGGCTAGACATTCAGTAGAGTGATTTCCTGTTTTTCTGTGAGTCATTAAGCTAGCAGAATTTGTGACAAGTATCTGAATTTTAATTTCATTATTATTCAGATAGTCAATGGTGTCTTCAGATCGCTACTCTTTAAAGTACCAGAAATAAACACACACAACAATTTTTATACCTCATGTTTTCAACTGTAGAGATCCTTGGTAAAGGAAAGGATGCATTTTCAAGCATTCAAAAAAGCTGTGTTATAAAACTTACTCCTTTGCGGAGTTATATTACAACACAAGAAGTTCATTCACTACACGCGATAGGAAGGAAAAAAAAAGTATTAGGAACTGCAGGCAAAAGCTGGCGGATGTTAGAAATGCTTCAGTTCTTTATAACTCACTTAAGAGATCTCTTGTGTCATGCCATGAAACATTTCTATTTTTTAAATGAGCCTGCCAAGTATGTCAACCTAAATTATGTATATATATATTTCTGAGACTTCAAAGCGCTTCCTGGGGATGCTGCTGAAAAACAATCCAAAGGATGGGCAGCTGGTTAGGAATATGGGAGCCAAAAGAGTGCAGAGGAAGATGAATTAGTGTTCTACTCTGCCCCCTTCCAAATTAGAGATGCTTCAGAAAAATGACTTCGTGATCTGAAATGGGGCACCTGCTCATTTAAACTTGTCTCTCAGCCTCACAAAAATCCTGAACTATTTTCTGCATATAACGAACACTTCCAGACAGTTTGGAAAAAGGCTTCAAAACATGGCAGCAGCTGTATTTACAAATGATGTACATTGTGCTCAATGTGTGCTACCATAAGCTTGCCAGGTTCTCCAAGATCAGTGGTCAGAGGTGATTTTCTAATGGATTCATTTCTTTAGTTGTGGTAAGGGAGCGAAAGGGTATTCTGTTAGGACTGGTGGTGTAAAGTGATTATTTATATGCTGAACTAGTGCAACTATCCTACCAGAAGTGGCTATCTAGTGTTACAAGTTAACTATCCAAATGCTGTGTAACATACTCAAAATCAGCACATTTCCTCCTGCCTTGAGAAGAAACATTTCTGCTCAGATTTGGTTCCATTTAGTTATATTAAATCTGGCACACGTTTTGCTAATTTAGTACGTCAAACCTTTCTGCCAGATATGTCTGAAGAGAAATATGTTCAGTTCACCTTGGTAAGTATGTGTTCTGTGTAAGAAGGTATTTTATTAAAAACCAGTGTGTTTAAAAGAGCTAGGTTCATTCACACATGAATGACTACAAGATGCTATTTCAAATACAGTTAACGTCAGTACTTGTTTGACCCATACTCTTTAAATTATTAATTGGAAATTCTGCATGCCAAAATCATGAAATAATAAAATTAAATTAGTCAGTCTGATGACATAAGCCTTCTGCAGGAAATCTCATTCCATATGTGAGAGGACAACCTCACATTTTTCAGCGTTTGCAGAGTTACCAGTTATTTCTTTCTCCCCTCCCCTTTCAAACTGTTTATTAGGCAAGTTTAATTTTGGAAGTAAACTGTTAAGCTTTCAAGAGCCACAATTAATACACACAAAATAAAGGTAACAATTTAATTTGCAAATTTTATAAAGCCAGAATAAACGCACTCCTTAGTCCAAGACAAATAACCCCACTCTTGGTTCTGAAGAATCCTGATGCTATTCTGCCATCTCTATCACATTTTTCACATTCTAGCTAACTGCATGCCCAAGAAGGAATGGGCTGCACCACCAAACTGTCTGTATTTAATAAAAAAAATCTTCACGGTTTGCTAAAACTGCTTATTTTACTTGGCAAGGCTCTTTTTTCTTTAAAAAAAGAACCAAAACAAAACTTACAGATTCATCACCAAAGCAATTTACTGGCCATTTTGTTTATGCCTTATATAAACCTTTGTTTTGCAGATCTCAGATACCTTAAACACAACCACTACAATCTGAAACCAGATAATAAAACAACAGATTTCTGCTGCTGAATTTAAAGTAATGTCAGCCTTTTTCACTGAGGCAAAACTTCAGTTGTAACTCAGTGTACATGCACTTCCCGAAAGTTCTGGCTTGTGCACTCGTTTTCCGCTAATATACCATATAGAAATAAATTAATCAGTAAATTTTAGACAAATTTTTAACATTTAAAAATCAATTTTTACAGTTAATTTTACTTTGATACATTTTTCCAGATAAAAAAGATAATTTGAAATTTTGATCCTGTACAGTAAAATCAGTGCAAAGAGGCCCCAAAACACAGGAGAGATTTCACTGAAGCTTTTGAAAAGTGAACTAGCTGCTTTGGCTGTTTCACGTAAAACAATTAAGGTTACAGAACAATTCAAAGGCAGCCACACTTTCTTAGTCTAGTTGGATGAAGTGGAAAGATAAGGAAATTCTTTTGATAGATGAGAGAGGAAATTTTATACTGTTGAGCTTTCTATTTATTTATACATTTTTATACACAGACTTGCTCCATTCTTTACCTGTATCTGTGCTACCAATCTAATTCTTCATATTGGTTGTCAGTTTCCCAGAAGATAACTTTGGAGAACAAATACAAGCAATCCTGTTTAAAGATGATGGAAAGATGGAAAAGCGATTCATGTTGAGGAGCACTGACCCCAAAATTTTCCTCTGAAATTAAGTTCTCCAGAACAGAATTTGTCTGCAAATACAGCCTGCTGTTCCCAGGCTCAAGACATACTGCTTTTCAGTTGGCACAGCACCGCACATCTTTGAGACTGCAGCAGTTTAAGCAGGCTCTAGTACTGTAATAGCAGCATGCCTTCGATATTGACTACTTTCCAAGGTTTGTGCCACTTGAAAACATGACTAGCAGGTAGTTTCTCTCATCAGTTACATCCCTGATAAGAATACAAGGAACACTAGATTAAGAGCAAGTAAAAACAGGTGCATCAACATAAGCAATTTTGAGCAGGTTCTTTTCTGGTGCAAAATTGTCTTGCATTTATCCTTGCAGTCTTGCAGTATTCTTGACAGATTTTAAGGGATATTTAGATGCCTAAGAATATTTGCAATGTACCTACATGCACTTTTGAGAGGGCACTTAAAATGGAACCATATCTCTAGCCACTCTAAAATGTAGCCTATTATGCCAATCTCTTAACTCTTGTGCTGTGCACATAAACAAAAAAACCCAAGGTAGTATTGTAACAACTGTTAAATTTTTAAAGAAATAGAGATTTACTTACTATTACCATTTGGTATGTAAACATATTTCCATTATCAAAGATTTTGAGGAACCTTCGCTTACCTGCATTGGGATCTTTTACTACAATGTCAGAAATCTCAAAGAGTTTGAGAGGCAAGGGCATCTTTCGATTAGCAGCAATAGTTTTCAGCAGCCCAGGAAGGAGGGTTGTACGTGCCACCTGCAGGGCAAACATGGATGCTGCAAGTGAAATACCTTCCAAAATAGCTAATGTTAGTTTTCTTAATTTTTTGCTTTGCTCAGTTGTAACAAGAGTTTAAAAGTAGTCTGCACTTATCTCTTATGTTTAAGCATCTTTGCTTTAGAATTATTAAACTTGAAAATGTACATTCTCTGCATGTTCTTTATACTGGATTTTCTGAAGGAGCGTATATGTGAGCTTAAGAATACGTATCATTTCACAGATGCTTGAGCTGCAGCACAGGGTAGAAAAATAATATAGAAAGAAGTGCAAAAAAAATTCCCATTAATTTAAGCTCACTTATGCAAAAGGTAAATACTAAGTGTTATTTTGGAAATATTAAGTGATATCTGAAATATTATCTTGATACCTCCTGATACCAATCAATGATATAGGCAGAACCTAAGTAACAGAAATGGATATATTTAGATTGTGGTTGTGGACAACCTGAAATACATAGAAAACATATGCAAAGAACCCAAGCAAGAGGCAAGCATATTACTCTTCTTACAGATACATTCAAACACTTCCTTAGAAGTGCACCTTTTTTTTTTTCCCAAACTAGAAGAGTGTGATTCAGTAAATCTAATGGAAAAGGGATGGGAGTCACTGCTGCTTGGCTGCAGGTAAAAAGTTACCATGTGCTCAGCCACAGTTACTTCTTATCACCAGTCATCCAGCATTTCTGTCTATTTATCCTACTTTTCCTAACCAATGAAGAGTTCCAGCTGCACAGTCTGCTGGAAGAGGATCCCTGGCATCATCCTGCCCTTGTCTTGCTGGCAGAGGAAGGGGGAAAAGCCATCCTGATGAATCCCATCACAGTGAACATCTAAAGCTGAAAGTTTATAGTACATCACAGAGAGTAATCCTTCTGAATTTTCAGGGCGGCCTACAGATTTTAAAAGACTGAGGCTATTTTTGCCACAAGGAATATTCAGCCAATAATATAACTGCTTAGCAGCATTGCTACTGCTAAGGCCTGCAGTCTTTGAAGAACAGGTATCTGAAATTGTACCTGGTTAGAGAGGCTACCACTTTTTCTCTTTTTGTTCATACTCAGTATTGTTTGTTTGTGGTACATTCTATATTGCTCAGTTGTAATCACCATGCCAAATGCTATATATGAACAGGTGATATAGTCTAAACAGGCTACAACAGTGTCTTGCGTGACTCCTTATTTGTGGTACCAAATAGAACAAAAAATACATGGAGGTAAGCAAAAATTCTGTTCTTGAATCTCAGGGCAGCAGAAGACTGTCTTTTGTATTAGAATTAAAAAAGAGCAATAATAGTTAATAGTTTTTACAAAAAACATTTCCTATCCAGAGCTCAGGAAGTTTAGAGATTGCCAGGTCTAGTAGTTCCATTTATATTGAATGGCTTTTCTAAATGCAGGAGTTGATCAATCATCTGGGATTTTCTGTAATAAGATGGTTCAATTTTGCCACATGCTGTCATACACAGCGTGGCATTTTATTTTATTGAAAAGCTAATAGTATTTCACAGCGAATAAGGTATTTCTCAGTGAATTCTCAGAAGTTGACTGCTAGCAAGTTTAGTACATAAGTATGCACATCCTTTTTAATGCAGGAAAAGTAGCTCTATCGTTTATAAATTTTATTTCCCGTTGGTTCCTTTCTTTCCTTTTAAAATATAGAATCCGTGACAATGTTGCTGTCAAAATTGACCTGAATTATCTCACCTGAAATTCTGCAGTTTTGGGGTTTGCTATGCGCACTGCTTTTGTTGCAGAGATATCCATGCCAAGTTTATCTGCAATGTCTTCTTGAGAACACTGAGAAGAAGAGACAAAAAACCACCAAGGTCAAGTAGTTAAAATAGACAGTAAGCCAATGAAGAAATCTGATATCAAGAATGAACAATGCAATTGTAGCACTTGCTCTGAGGCCCCATAATATGTGCTCTCATGTGCAACACCCACTCATAATAAAAATTAAGCCCCAGTCTTAAAACTAAGTAGGCAAACTGGTTTATCTACAAATGTTAATTACTAACCAAGACAAAGCTAGTTTAAAAAATAAAAGGCAAGTGTTTATTTAGGCTTCTGTCATGGATTGCTGTCATCTGTTTTAAAAACAGAGGCTCAGATTCTGTCTCCCGACTTGCAGTGGGTAAAGTATTTTATTCTGAAAATAGCGCTTGTAAAGGGACTGGTACCCAAGCTTCCTCACAAAGAAAACAATCCCTTGGAGGCTACTTACAGAAAGTAAAGTACTGTCTATGAAAAACAGGTCATATGGCCAAGTCCGCTATTTTCATAGCTGCATAGGATTCTCATAGTTCATTGTTGTTTTCATTTTTTGAGTTGGACTATTTTTAAAGCCCTTATTCTCAAGGTGTATTTTTAAGCTGGTCAGTAAAGCAATACACACGCACTTTATCAGGCTCAGTTGATGTCTGATACAGCAACAGATGCTACTGGTAAGATCCACACCACAGATTTCCAGAATTTATAGCTTTATTAATGTATTAAAGAAACCAATACCAGACTAGGCATGTAATTGAAGATTTGCTAGTATACTGCAGTCTCCCAGAAGTGTTCCCTTTGCACTGGCAGCACTCCGAATACTGTGTCGATATACCAAATGCGAGGAAAATGAGCAGATGATACCATCTGAAAAAGTGGATTAGTGAATGAAAAAAAAAAATCTTAAATGAATGTTGACCTTAGGAGGAGAAAACTGTGTTAAACAGTTTTCAGATGTGTATCTAAACTACAGTATGTTACTGTGATTTAACTAAATGTATTTTGGCTAAATTGGAGCTCCTCACAGAAAGCAGTGTTATTGTGTACAAGTATAACTTGCGGCTTAAACCAAGAAACAGATTGTATGCACAAATATATAAGCAGTGTTTGTCATATAACACTGGGCTACAGAATGTTGTAGCATAAATGATATTTGTCATAGTCCTCGCATTGGTGTTTTAATAAAGTGTTGGTGACACAGCAGACTCTGGGTTTCATCATGCCACAGCAGAAATACAAATATGTAATGTGGTAACATGATATACTCCGTGATCTCACAGACTTCTGCTGCTGCAGTTCATAAAGGTCCTCAGTTGTAGTGATGTAATACATTCAATGTTTTTAAGCATATTACCTATTCAGTGCTGAAAAAAATTACTTATATTTATTAATGAATAAGGAAAATCTGTAAAAGCTTGACTACGTTATATATATTATTTCTCCAACACGGTACTACCGCAGGTAGTCCGAGTATCTTTGTTGAATACCAGCACTGCAGGAAGTAATAATTGTTATTGTCCTGGTTACTTAAATACAAAATATTAAAACTAGAATATATTTTTCAGACTTCATAATTAGCCCAAATTTTGCTTTTGAAGCTCCATCAAATCTGAAGGTGTTAAAATTTTATTCAACTCATTTGGATTACCAACTTTAGCTGCAATACCTGAACTTTTCAAATGCGTGGAAGTGTTTCAGGAGCCTGCATCACTGTATCTTAAAATCTTTGAGTAAGTTATCAAAAAATAATCTGTGATCAGATAACTATCTCTTCAAAGGTTGTGTACCTTCAAGAATGTATACTTCTGGCCATCTAATAAGTTTTAAGTTCAGGAAAAGGATGAGAAATACCACAGAGGTTTTAACAGAATATGCAATGGTAGCTCCCCATGTGCTAAAACATCCACAAATTGCACTTTAAGGCAAAGGCTTTGAGCAGATCTTGCAACAGAAAGGATTTTCTAAAATAGGTAGTGTAATTTCAATAGCTGACTATGCCAATCTCCATGTATGGGCAGTTACCACATACATTTGGAGGGCATGGGGGTGTACTTAACTTTTTTTTTTTAATATTAGATCAGGTTCTCTGATCCAGTTCACAACTATGGCAAAGGGGTATGGACAAAGATGGTGTTTCCTACTCAGCATTTTATGAATGTTGCAACAGAACAATCCTGTTGCAAAATTTCAGTATTAGAAATTATGCCAGCTGTTAGTACTGGAGTGGCACATGCTGCTGTAGTCATAATTCTTGGTAAAAGACTAGTGGCATGGTTGTAACAGATAATATGAATAATACCTGCAACCAGCAGTAACAACAATTACTATATTTTTATTTGTTCTTCCATGCAAAAAAACCACCCACCTGTAGTGAAATTTACAGAGGAATTTTGGTCCCCTTAGTGTGCATTATAACTTTTTTACAGGTATTCTTAAACTCTTTGCTGACTGATTAACTACGTATCAGTTTGGTATCTAATGCAAGGAATCATGGGCAAGTGATGATACTAAAAAGAGAAAAATAGAAACGGGGTAATCTCTAAATTGTAGTAATATCCACCAGAAAGTACTAAATTTTTGTGTTTGATTTCCAGATTATTGAACTATGATGAATTTCACATCTGGTGATCAAAGTCTTGACAGAGACTTGCTGTCTTACAACTTCATCCTATCAAGTTAAACTAAAAACAGTACTTAAGCAGCTAGTCTTCCCTCTATACTTAGAACTACATGCCACACTAACAGTGACTTAGTCAATTTCTCTGAGGTACAAACTCACAAAATATTATAATTCCAAAGCACTAGCAAACAATCAGCTGCCAAAACAGCAACAGATAATACTGGTACGTTTATACAACAACATATCCTCAGACTACTCTCTGCAGTTTTGGCTGCATCATTGTTCCAACATGCAACTAAGAAAAATATGAAATCAATATAATATACCAGGGCAAAAGTGAGTGCTTCAGTGAATCCAGCAGCTGCCAAGTCCAGTCTCAGAAGTTCTGTGAGCTTATTGAGGGGGAGCTAAAATGAAACAAATAAGTTTTCAACTTCCATCTAAAACCATTTTTCTATTCTTTCCCGAGGTGATTCTGCCTGTTACATTACAGTCAATTCACTAGGGAGGTACTACGCTTGTGTGCTTAAAATTTTTGAAAGTGTCAGCCAGCTGCCTTTAGGCTTGCCTGAGGAAATGAATCTCCCAATTAGAGATTTAATACAGGCTCCCTACTTAAACCCTGTCTTTTTTCAAGTACCAGCAACCACTGGTCTTGGACTTACTCAAATCAGTGGGGCATCTGTTTTGTATCCTATCCATGGTAAATACTTCTCAAGGCAAAGCATGTCAAAATATTTAATTCCTAGGTTCTGTTTTCCCCAAAGCCCTTCTGGCATGCACTAGTCATTTACTGACAACAGAGCGTTTATTTGAAGGGGCAATCTTACTTGATTAGCTATGGTGTACGTTTTCGGAATAGTCATCTGAATGTTGTTATAACCATAAGCTATTGCTGCATCTTCTATGATATCACATGCATGGATAATGTCCGCTCTGGTAGGAGGGATTTCAACCTCTATATTGTTCCCATTCCCTATGACGTGTGACTTCAAACACATCCTAGTCAGCAGCTTTGCAAGGCCTGATGGAGTTTCACTGAAACAAAACAAAGAATAGTAATTTATGGATCTCGTACTATATCGACTGGCTTTTTAAAGTAATCAGTGTTCCTGCTGCATTGCCTTATATCCTGAAGAATCTCCAAGTGCTTTCTGGACTGTACATAGACAGTATTCAATCAGAGACAGCTCAGATTCTGACTCCTGAGACGGTCATTTTTCTTTACTTCATAACAGTTGTGTGAGACCATAAAGAATCATTCACTTTCATTGAAAACAGGGGAAGAAGTCTTACAGAGTTTATCTAATTACCCAAGATAACTCCTGAATTTTTGATAAATTAAAAAAAAATCATAGTGTAAACATTTTTGAAACAATGCAATGATCAATGTTTTCTAGTACCTTTTTCATGATTAATGAAAAAGATTTTTTCATTTGCAATAACACACCTGATTCCTATTTTCTTGTTAATGAGTTCAGGTTTCACTTTCTCTTTTCGGTAAGCCAGTTCCTAAAAAGAAAGACAAAGCTTTTCAGCATACACAATGCCTGCATTTCTACCTAAGAGGATTTGATTTGGACATCTTAGTAATCTAGCTTCTTCTAATTACGATACTAAAATGACATCCACAGAAGGCAAGTGTGGAATATTAGCCTAAACTTACGTTTTCAAGAATCCTGTCACCTTAAAATATTGTTATAGTAAGCGATGCAAAAGTTGTTCTCAGTTAAGCTAGAAGGTTGAATGCCACATGAAATCCCTGTTACTGAAATTTCCGATAATTTCTGGTACGTGCAAGTGACAGTTGCCGAAAGTTTCTAGACACCGGTTCATCCTAAGTCAAAGCCCTAAAGCAGTGAGTGGTTGTGCAAGAGATCTCATGGTCTAGTACAGATCAAATTACTTTTAGGAGGAAAAGGAAAGAAAACTTTCTATTTCCATATTGGCACAGAAATGCCTACTGGTATTTTACTTAGAAAGTTTGCAACATATTTAAGAAAGTTATTTGTCTGTATTTACTTAGGTGTTTCTAAAATTCTAGATATACAAAACCTTAAAAAACTAAAACTTTGGGGATTTTTTGCTCTATTTTATCTAGGGAAGCTACTTTGGTTACTGCAGAGATTTCTGTTTTCTTGGGTATCTCTTCATGATTCTAGGTCTTTCCCCTGTTGATTAAAGCTGACATTGCTAAAAGAAAAAGCTGAAGTACCACTAGAAAAATTCTTGGTAAAAATAAGTTTCTTTCCCTCTAAACATTTTGTACTTGCTTGATACATGTGATTTTTATGAACTCAACCAGATCTCTGTTTGTCTTCAGTTACTTTCAGAAAACAGGAGGAATTGCTTGCTTTATACTTATTAAGAGAACAAAAAAGTAAGACTCCATTACTGCAGAGAGGTCTGCCTGGCACTCTGAATGCAGGCAGACCTGCACTTGCAAGTCAACATCCTGCCTTATAAACCTTTATATAGTTGGAGTCTACAAAGTGAAAGACAGAAAAATCCAGTGCTACCACGTTATTTTAACTGAAGGGCATTAAAGCTTCCAAATCTGATAAGTAAGTTATGTTGAGGCTGATTTCAGTTGTCCACTGGCTTAAGGCTGAAGGACCTCTTCCTGCATTCATTTTTCCTGTTTTGGAACACATAGGTTTTAAAAGCTTTAGACACAGATTATGACGCTTGACTGCAATCTTTACTTGTTCCTGAAAAAGTTCGTATCACATGAACTCTAAACCACAACAGTGGTTACCACTTGTAACTTTAAACCCTACCTTTCTTTTTGGAGTATTGGGCTATGTCAGTGAGACTGTATTTTTAGCCTTATCATAAATTAGTCGAGCTTCAGAATGAGTTTCCTAGATCAGGGGAAGCTGGAGCTGGACTTATTTTTCGTGGTGCTAGAGAAGGCCCCAACTTGCTAATACACAGACAGTGCCAAGCTGAGCTTTTACACTGTACCTCAGAACCAGTACATATTGCCTCTGCAGAAAAAGACGACAATGTCACTCTTACCAGCCTTTGTGTAAATAAAATCCTTTCCCCAAGGATACTGAGATAACATATCACTATGCTTACCGGATAGATGTGGGTCTTCCCATTAGGATAAACTACTTCTGCTGCTTCAACACTGAGAGAGACGGAAAAATAGAAGTAACAATGTTTTTAACACATGGCCCAAATGTAGTACCTCTCTGACTGGAGATTTATACTCACGTGAATGGCTTCTCGCAATATTCACTAAACATCGTGACTATAATATCAAGAACAATTTTTGCCTACAAAATAAAGATAATAGTCACATTGAAATCCATCATCTACTTGTGAGGAAGTAGACAAAATATCTTAATAAAAAAGGGGAAAAAAATCTTGTCTTACACTTTCTTTATTCTATAGTATTTAATAACTTAACAACCAAAATCCTAGCAGTCTAGAATACTAGATTTAATTTAAAAAATGTTTTTCTTCTGCTGCAGAGACCTTTACGTAAAAACTTGAAACTTTCAAGTTTCTGAGGTATTTGTGTATGTATCTTTGCTAAACTCTGTTCTGAAGATACAAAGGGGTTTTATTACCAGTTGGAACTGGGTTTTCCCAACCTTCAGTCTAATTAGTCATTTCACTGAAGTTCAAGTGAGAATGTAGAGGTTGAAGGACTGTGCATTGTTTAGTAATACGTTATCAAATAACCTCATCTGTAAAATATTTTGTTTTACAGTTAATATTTTAGGAGATTAGTATAACAGAACATAATCATGAGATTCAGATCATCTTCTTAATCTACAAGGGTTGGTTTTTTGACGCCTCACAGTATAATTTCCTTCATCTAAATAGCACAGCACTATTTTTATTTTTACTATCAAGGCAAGCAGTAGCAAGAAGCAGCTATTTATTAGTTTGCTTAGAAGCCACTCCCCAATGTGCAAATTTATTTCTGTCATTAACATATCATTGTGTAGTAGGGTAAATTAAAAGCGTTTTTGCCCTTAAGCATCAAGATACACACTTTAGGGAAACTATCAATGAATGCACAACCTATATTCAAGAACAGGCAATTATAACTGCTAAGCTTTCATGCTTCGCTTTGAGTTACAGAATTTGCATATGGAAAGACTTCGATTTGATAATTATTTGCACAGCATCCCTGCTTGAAAAAGATAACTAAGAAGAAAAAGTGTCGTCTTCCTTCCCTCAGCCCAAATTTTAAGGAGGAGACAAAATGATTCTTTACAAAGAATATTCTGGCAAAATAGGCAGTCTTAGTGAATTTTCTCTTTTCAAAGCCTTTCAGATGTAGAAAAAGTGCTCAACAAGAAAAAAAGCCCCTAATTTACTTAAATTACTTTCTCGTACAAACTGAACACTTAGTGTCAATGTAAAGACACAGTAAAAACAAAATGCTGTCTGTACAGCAAGCCTGAAAATGTGTTGAGGCAATTCCACGTAGTCCCGCAACTTATCCTGTCCTTTTGAAAGCGGAGGTTGGCTCCATAAAGTAAATGCTTGGCTATTATAGGTCTTTGCATTGCAGCCCTATCACCCAAAGGGAAAACAATGTTGTTATAACGTATCAAAAGCAGGAAAGATAAATTTACCTTTGTAATATCTGTGCCTGTACATTCAATAAACACATTTCTGGTGTTTACACTTATTTTTGTATGATCTCCTAAAACATGTGAAGACAAAAACATGTTAGGAAATGTTATTACTTTTCTTGCAGTGACATTGATACCGACTCCTTTTGTGATTCAGAACTATCATTATCATCTTCTGCAGCTTAAAAAGCCACTGTCTACTGCACCAACGTTCACAATTCTTATCAGAATAGCAGCTCTTTATTTTTAAATTTATGAATCAAAAAGAGGAAAAAGACAGACCAGACTCACTGACCGGGTTATGCTTTACATTGAAAGACAACACAAATCTACAGGTATCTGGGCATCCGGCTGAAAAGGCAAACCAGCAGAATAGCGGCCATCTGCTGGTTGCAAAGTGGTTCTGCACTGCCAGAGCATCTTGGCTTTAGCAACACATTGGTGTGCGATGTGCATAAGAAAGCAGCCTTGGACAGGAATGAATTAAATGGTTTTTAAAACTGGATTTAGACTGACGAATATCCATAGCTACTTCTGTGAATAACCAAGGTCTCTTGACACTGTGCTTATACACTATGGGTTGGTCTACATTAGTGATTCAGGTCCTAGTATGGGTTCCTTTTAGGCATGAATTTGCTTTGTGTCTACTGGGAGTCTACTGCAGCACATCACTGATGCACTCAAAACTGTTTCTCATCTCGAAGAAGCAAGGCAGAACATACATTTAGGGGCATCACCTAAAGTGTCTCTGTTGCAAATTGAATGCAAACTCCCCCAGTAGTTGGTTCCCTACAAAAGTGGGGTTCTGTTAGTAAGCCCTAAGCAATCTAGAGCAGCTGTACAGAAATCTGCCTCATATTGTCTGTTAGGGACAGATGTGCAGTGCATACACCTTGAATGAATTTCATTGCTGGTAACCATGCAGCATGGTCATACACAGTCCTAAAATTGTATGGGGTTGTGCCAAATCCAACATCTTTGTCCTTCTCGCCTTTCACTGGATCACTCACTAATGCAGATGCACCCCACAGGAGGCAACGGGAAGCATTTGGATACACATGGGCATTCTTGCTTCCTTCATTTGACCCTCAGCAAGTCATTCAGCTTCTATGTTTTAGTTTCCTACTTGAGAAACTAGGTAACAGCTAGACTGAAAGTTAGGTGCACTGAAGACCTTAAGACTGAGGGATCTTGTATTCTGTTCCCTTTGATGCTGTGCTGTACCTCTTTGCAGATGGAATGTATTTCTGGACTCACTTCAAAGCAAATATAACCTTTCATTTAAGTGCTTGAAGATAATCCAAAAAAACAATACAGATGTTTACATTTCATTATCTGTTTAAAAAGCACCTTTAACCTGGAAGCTTCTCTCAAATACTGTTCTTTAAAATAGAGACAGGTATTAAATTTAGCTCAACCTTTTTAGCTGATAAAATCTAAACAATATCCAATGCTTATACATGGAACAGTCCAAAGTTGGGATAAGCCTAACAAAGAAGGATCAGACACAGTGGTTGACACCACCTTCAGTTCAGAACAGTTGCTCTTACTAGTCCCTGTCACAGAGTTTCAGCTGCCTTTTAAAAAGATTTGGGTTAGCTGTTTAAGATATGGATAAGGTCAATTAGGAAAAATACATCCAAAAAGATCATCACTGCAGATTTTACTGGTCAGTGTAGTCAAAGTTACTGACTCTTGACCTAAGTATCTAGGTATACTGAAATATCTTTGTTAAAGGGGTATTCTTGCCATGTAGTTAATTGGCTTCAGTAAACATGGTTCTCAAAAATCACCCATAGTTTCTTTTTCATTCAGAGAAAATCCATGCTTAGAAACAATGCAAAAAAAGTCTAGACCAATATATTCTTTTTAAGCCATTAAAGTCTTCTGAAATCATTAATAGCAAAAGGATGCTCAAGAACTCATTCGCACTGCTGATAAATACACTGGGCTTAAGACCTAGATGAAAGGTTCCCTACTGTGACCACATAAAATGGAGTACAAAGCAGACTGATACAGTAATTGGTTTACAAAATAATTTCTTACATGCTTCTTTTAGCTAAATGTCTGAGGAACAATGTTTATGTATGCAAACAAAATGCTTTCCTAAGAAAAGTTCCTGTCACAAGGAACCTTTCTTGAGTTCTACAGGGGTATGAGAAGCTAAATGCAGAGGTTTGCAATGGGACTTTTACTTCCTCTTGATGAGGATGAGAAAAGAGGAACACTAGTAGCCTAGGGAAGGAGCAAAAAATTTGGCTGCATTTAAACTGAAAGAAGGAAAGAAGACTATATGAAATTATAAGTGAAACAATTTTAAGAAAACAGAATAATCTTTATTATACGTCAGTGTTTCTGTTAGACACTCTGACTCACAAAATTGCAGCGACAGTATAAACTAGTTGTAAGTCCTCTTACCATTGATGATTGGTGGCATGGACAGAACAACACCATTGCTGTCATAAATGGCAGGATAAAGTGGCTTGTTTTCAATTAGGTGTAAATAGTGCCGAAGGTGGCTGTCAGTCTGGGGAAACAAAGCACAACCTAAATTTCACATTAGCTTACTTGTGAACTTCCATAGTGCCACAATCCTTTGCTGAGAGATTAATGGGAACTTTGAAAGAGGGAAGGGTTGGTCTTAGAGCTAGGTACTTCACTAGCAAAAGCTGTTTGCTCTCAGAAGCAGGAAAACTTTGAAATGAGAGAACTGGATTTTGGGTTTTCTTCAGAAGCGTTAAAAATTATTTCTTTAGGGATTCTCTCAGAGATGCATAGGCCGTGCTGTCCAAACAATGCCCTTGTTCACCACAGCAGACCTTTCATTGCCAAACCCAGGGGCACATATCCTTAGTTTATAGGAACTTTCCTTACAAGTGATAAAAATTAGCACCACAATAATTTTAATTATAAATTGCTGAATACTGACACATTTATGCTTAAATTTGATTCAAAATTTACATCTGTTCCAATGACATAGGTATATGCTGTACCAAAAACATCACTTACTTTTAGTGTCTCTGATAACCCTTGTTTCCTAATGCTCTTATTCATCTTTAGTCAGAGATCTTTGAGAATTTATTTATCTCTGTGACCAGTATGTGTGCTCCAGCATGGCTGTATATTGTAATGATGGTGATAATAGTATTGTTTTCAAAAGCCAACTTTTAAAGTGGTCCACAGAAACATTGTAAAATTAGACCTGATGGAATCTTTTCCTAGCATTTACCTGGTTGCATCAGGATGCTGGGCCAAGAGCAGCGCCAGACTTGAGCCTTTTACACAGCTAAACTTGCCTAATATGTAGTTGGGTAAATAATTCAACATCTTCCCTAAATTGGCCAAATTAAAGTAACACTAAAAAATTTGCTATTATTTACCCCAAGCTTTTCCCAGCTTCGTACACTGAGTATCTTACCGGTGCAGATAAATAAATATACAACGTTTTTACAGTATTATTAAAAGCATAATGAAAAGCAGTCTTCGTGTTGATAAATCAGAGTGTTAATATCAAACCTACTATTCTAGGAGTTGTGCTTAGCCACAAAACACCATGATGTATCTTTCATGGACAATAAAAATAAAGTATTACCATGCATTTCTCATTAATAAGCAAAATGTGGAATGTTCACTGGCTCAAGCTACAGAAAATAACTGTTTTATTTTTAAGAACAATTCTTAATAACAAGGATATGAGATGTTAAGCCTTGGAAACTTATCTTCCTGCATTTAGTGCAACAAGTGTGAAAAATCCCACTTACCCTATACAGATCCATAATTTGTGAAGCTGTGTACTCCTGGGATTGATTCAAGGGCTTGAATTTAATTTCAGAAGGTGGTTTAGCTGTATAAGTAAATGGACCAGAGATGGTGTCCAAGTCATGGGTACCTATTGCTACTAACGCTCTTCTCCTAGAAAGAAAGAAGGCAAAATAATGATTTTGCTAGTAATATTTGGAGTTCCTTTGAGATAGTATCTCATGATGCTCTATACTCCCATGCATTCATAGTACTTACCAAAAAAGTAGAAGGGCAATTTTGAGAAGCCTAGAAATTATTTTCAAGAATAACATTTTAACGGATGTTAACAACACAACAGTCAAAGGCAAATCCAATAGGGCTGTTGCAAAATGCTTCTTTCTCAACTGTTGTAGGAGCTGTAACATCTATTTATACTGCAAAATATTGAGAGCAGGCAGAAACAGGCAAGGAAATGAAAAGGATCAAGAGAGCTGCTATAAAAGATTTTCCTTAGCATAAATATAATGCCTCTCTGCAATAGAGACGTGCAGTCTTAACATGAGATAAAATGACACACATAGACACTATACACTATTTTAAATTCAAGCACTAACCTGCAAATATTTTGGTGTAGTTTTTCTTGGAGGTCAATGAAACTATCATAACGGTCCTTGGTAAAAGTTATATTACGAAGGACTGCAGCTACAGCATGAGGACGGACTTGGACAGTCTGCAATTTACAACAGCAAGACATTATATATTTAAAGTACACAGAACATACAAAACTAAAACTGATTAAAGTGCACTTTTCTTCATAAAATCCTCTTTTGTAAAGTAGTAATCAAAAAGAAAATTCATGGAAAGATATCAGAATCCCAAAGGGGAAAAAAATCCAAACAAACTCACTCCAGGTCTGGTAGGGACAAGGAGGTTTGCAGTATACTGTGTAATGGCCCAGAAGGTCAATGCAATGTAAGCGTCTGAAACTCTCATTTGATCTGCTACTAGGTTCACCCAAAATAATTTGTCTATTGTTACTCCCCTTTCCCTTCCCTAAAAATAAATCACAATGAGTAGAGAGATTTAAATTTCTTTAGCTCTTGTTCTGCAAATAAGATCTCCACCCCCACTGCTCTTATAAAATTGGTATGGATACCTTTCTTGCTGGTTCAGAAACTCTCAATAAATTTACAATGGTGCAGTAAACACTTTTACCTCTTCAGCGATAATCAGCCTCTGACCTTCACCCTGAGCTGGTATTATCTTTTCGTACCTAGGGAGATTTATCCTAGAATAAAACCAAAAAATGCAGGAAACTTTAGAAATGTAGCAACAATTATATGTAGAAACTTTCTTAGTAACATTTCTTGGCATGTAAATTAGCTAACTGTTTAAAACTCTATGGGATGGTGAACAGATTACTGAACTAGAAATTAAGGACTCAAGAAGACAAAATCATAGCAGAAGAGTGAAATAAATGATTTGTTCTAGTACTTATTACAGAGGATCACAAGGAAGTTCCTCTGCAGCAGTTCTTTACAGAGGTTAAGCCTCAAATGGAACAGCAGCTGAAAAAATTCTAGAACAGATCCAAAACCCAGTACCATTCTAGTCTAATCTTTTAAAAATATAAAATAGATCCTCTCCAGAGCAATATCTGATGAATTTGATCTACACGACATCGTACTCAAAATCCAAGCAAGTGGCAAATTTGTTTATTGACCAGAAATAGACTCATATTTAAACAAATCACACAAAAATCTCACAACTCCGCATTACCTTTCTTTAAAGACCTGCAGTCCTCGGACCAGCCCTTCAAGACAAAGAAGATCATAACGGTTGGCAGGAACATCAATTTTATAGAGAACGGTATCAGATGCACCCTTTGCCTTTTCTTCACCCTTTTCTTTACTTATAATGTCTTTCTCAGATGTCTGAAATTAAGCAAAAATGTGTTTTTAACCTGAAATATCTTAACATTGACAAGAGTATGATAGTGAGATAACATAATAGGAAAAATTGTATTAATTAAAAGTTTAACAGTGTAATTTGGATTTATACAGCAATGGGAGACACCCAATACCAGAAATGACATAAAATCTGAATCTTTCTCAGGTTGAGAGACTGTAATGCAGTATACCAAAAGACAAATTCACTATTAGAATGTGAATTTTAGAAAAAGAGATTATAGAAGCAAGAGTCTCTAGGTTAGCAGATCCCCCTAGAGAACTGAGACCTTATTTTTGGCAATAGATCGGCAACTGACTTGTCATATCAAGTCTATTCTGAAATAAAGCACAACATATGATGTTCAGATGTCTTTTGATACACATCATTAAAAGATTAATTAATTAAAATTAAAAAGCAAAACCAAAACAGGTCTACTTGAACAAGATTTACATGGATACAGTTAACAGACCTAGCAAATTTTCACAAGTACAGAATCTAAATCAAAACTTTAAATATAAATTAGTTACAACTTAGGTAACAATGTCCAGGACAAATACATTTTTGTGGATATTGCACAGAAGAATGCATATGAAACAAAGCCAAAGAGATCTTATAAAATATGTTCAATACATGGTCTGTGGAGATATTTATGCTGCTAAATAAAATGGGGCCAGAGACTGAAGACCAAGCGGCAAAGACTGCCGACCTCCACGAAGTATAGCAATATGCCATCTTGGGGTCCCTTGCTTCCAAGATGCTAATTTTTGTATGTCTAGGGTTTTTTTTCAGATTCAAAACACCTGTGTTAATACCATCTATTACAGCAATATTTTATAACAAGAACATAAAGGTATGTGTTACATATTCTGTCCTGTGATATGGAGATATGTGAGGATGTTTCAGGATGAAAAACCTGCTGCAGTACTACTGGAAGACTGTATAGGTCAAGGAGACCTTCGAGTCTTGTCCACACTGCTTTTTGAGGATACCTGGGGCACAGTATCCTCCAATCCTTGCCTAGACGTTTTCTTGGTACATGCTAGAGGGCATCGGCCAACACTGTACCAGGGAATATGCTAGAAATAATGCCATACAAACTCTTACCAAATATAAACGCTGCCAGTACACTACATCTACTAAAAAAGGAACAAACAAAAATGTTACTTACAACTTCATCAAGCTCCAAACCAAACTCGAAGCAAAGTTCATCAAATTCTTCATCAGCTGTGAAGGTAAAATTTCATCAATAAGCAGACCTCAGACTTTTACAGCAATTTTCTTCTGTTCGTTTTGAATGCTTTCAAACAAGATAACAAATGCTGTTTTGAAAAAAAGGGTGATTTAAAGAATGTTGCTTATATTTGCATCTGAGTAGCCATTTCTTTAGTGCATATTGCATTTATTGACACGTTATTCTTATAGTCACAGCAAGGGCTTCTGAGCATCAGAGCCTAGCTTCACTACCAGCTTCTCAGCCAAGTTTGTCAGAGTAACTCTGGCCTGAACAGATTATGAAAATGGGACGGAGTAACTGGACAGCTTCTGCTAACAGCTACTTTTTTAATCTGTCAGCTTGTCATACAGAAGTAGTATCAACTGCTTTATGACATGCGAGTAGCATAACCCTGATCTGAAAATGGAAATTTGCATCCATGGGTCTCAAGAGCCTACCAGCTCCAGTGTGGGCTAGATAAACTGCTGCATGTCCCTAAACCCTCTTTCTGCCAAACAGTCCTTACGTCACATTTCTGAAGAGCCGGGGAAGAAGGACTGAAGGAAAACATGGTGTTAATTATTTGCTTTGCCTGCTCCCACCTCCGCCCTCTCCTTTTTGATTTAACCAGTTCTTAAAACAGACAGGGAAACTCCAACTAGAAACCGTGATTTGGAAACGCATGCTTTCGATTTCCTGAGTGATTTGGACTCAAACAGCGTGTACGTGGGCAAAAGGCTGAAGGGAGAACAGATGGCCCTGTCGGGCACGCCGTGGGCTTGTGAAGAGCAAACGGCTGGGGAGCACCCCTGATGCAGACACTGCTGTTGGTCTGAAGCCTGGGCTTCCCGCGAAGGTCAGCCCAGCTCCGTGCACACGGGATAAGCAAGGAGCGAAGGGGTGCTGTCGGTGCACGGCTGGACTGCCCCATCCCCGGCGCGCCTCAGGGGTTTGTCC